AAGTTTCAATATTTATGTTTGTAATATGTTTCTTTTCTTATTGTATATTTAAGTTTTACTATTTAATAAAGTTTATAAAAAAAGAACATAAGTTCTTATAGTTAATTTTCAAACAGTTTCAGAAAAATGCAGAGAAATGTAAGTAAAAACTTCTGTGTATCTTTTGTTTGCAGGATAGTAAGAAAATGTTTATCACAGCAAAAAATGAAAGGTTTGCCACTCATCACACCAGATGGAAATAATTTAAAGATGAGTGAAACACCAGCTATTTGGCTAAATATCTAAATGCTTTGTTGCTGAAGTGACAATTTATCCAAATACAATCAACTCATTTTGTTCAATTATTATTTCTATGAAGATGAATGCCAGATCTATATGTCTAGCCTTAATCTCTCTCCTGACTGACCCCCACTCTTCCATCAAGTAACTGTCTGCTGACCATTCTAACTGGATACTCCAGACATCTTAAGCCCAACATGTATAAAATTCATTATCTTTTCCCTAAAAGATTGGGAATTTCCCTTTTTCTATATAAGAACCAATCAAATTAATCAGTGAACATGTATTTATTAAACTTGTGCTAGGCATTGTGCTAAGCACAGAAGATACAAAGAAAAGCAAAAATAGTCTCTCTTCTCCAAGGAGCTTGTATACAGAGGAGATAGAAGATAACAGTAGAGGAGAAAGTTCTTGAAGTTTAGGAGATCAGGAAAGGCCATTTGTAGAAGGTGATATTTGAACCAAGCCTTGCAGGAAGCAAGGTGTACTCAGAGGCAGAGGTGAGGGGTAGAGTACTGCTAGCACAGGGAAAAACCAGTAGAGAAGCATAGTGACAGGCAATGGAGTGCTGTGCATGAAGACTATTAAGTTGGTTGGACATTATTCTAAGTATGGCTGGATTGCAGAATATGTGAAAGAGTAAAATATATGAAGATTAGAAATACTGGAAGGGGCCAAGTTATGAAGAGCTTTAAATGCTGAACAAAGCACTTTAAATTTGATCTTGGAGGTAATAAAAAACACTGAAAGTCACTTTGGCAACTTAGTGGAGGATGGCTTGGAGTAGGCAGAGACTTGGGGCAGGGAGACCAATTAGAAAGCTATTATAATAATTCAGGACAGGCGATAGAGGGCCTGAACCAGGGTGGTAGAGTAGAGAGTAATGTGAGGAGAGAGAAGAGGACATATATCAGAGGTACTGTGAAGGTGGAACAAGATTTGACAATTAGTTGGATATGGGAGATGTATGAAAGTGAGAAGTTAAGGGTGACACTGAGATTGCAATCTCAGGTGACTGGATGGATGGTGGTACTCTTGACAGAAACAGAGAAGTCTGGAAGAAGAGAAGGTTTGTGGGGAAAATATAATGAGTTCAGACTTGGACATAGTGAGTTTGAGATAATTATGAAATGTCCAATAGGCAACTGGTGATATAGAACTGTTGTTGTTTGTCCTTCACTCTTGAAGAGGGCCACGACATCTGGAAGGTGATGCCATGACTTGTAAGTAAATTGGATGTAAGTGGGGGAGAGATATGCAAAATCACCAGCCTCACTTTCTCCTCTGGGGTCATCTGGGTCCAGTGGGAGACTTTGACCTTTTTAAGCTAAGATCTTTCCCAGGTCTCAGTTTGACTAAGGCAACCCCAGTCAGTAATTAAGACTAGGTAAGAAATGAGACAAAGAATGGCCTCTTTTACCTAGTCCAAAAAAAAAAAATCAGTCTGGGAGGGGAAGACCCTCAGGGTTTCTAGGCAAAATAGAAACAACTGCTATTTACATTCACTTTGAGCCATCAGGGCCAAACCAATGACCACTAAGTGGGGCTTGGGCTGGGACCCTGTTGGCCAATCAATGAGAGCCAGAGTGAATTGGGTTTAAGGTGTGGTCCTTGTTGTTTGTCCTTCCTTCTGGAAGAAGACCATGGCATCAGGAAGGTGATGCCATGACTTGCAAGTGAATTGGATTTAAGTGAGAGAGGGCTGTGCAAAGTTACCAGCCTCACTTTCCTCTCCAGAGCCATCTGGGTCCAGTGGTAAGATATAAATCAGGATGACTGGAGATCACCCCTGGATATGGAACTGTAGCTCAGAAGAAAGAGTAGGGCTAGATATATAGACCTGAGAATCATCCACATATAGATCATAATTGAATCAATGAGAGCTGTTGAAATTATGAAGTGATATAGTAGAGAAAAGAAATTGAAGAAGGTCAAGAACATACCTTGAGGAATCTAGAGTTAGTGGGTATGACTTGGATGAAAATCCAGCAAAGGAGACTAAGGAATAGTCAAACAGATAAATAGGCAGAGAACCAAGAAAGAACAGTGTCACAAAAACCTAGAAAGGAGAGAGAATACAGGAAAAGAAGGTAGTGAAGTGTTAAATGCAATAGAGAGAGGTCAGAAGAATAAAGACTGAGAAAAGGCCGTTAGATTTGGCAATTAAGAAATCATTGGTAATTCTGAACAGGGCAATTTCATGTGGATGATGAGATCAGAATCCAGATTACAGAAAGTTAGGAGAGGAGAGAAAGCAAAGACACCTAGTTTAGATGGTTTTCATAAGAGGGCAGGTAGGTGGCGCAGTGCATAGAGTGCCCAACCTAAAGTTAGGAAGATCGTCATGAGTTCAAGTCTGGCCTCAGACATTTACTAGGTATGTGACCCTGGACAAGTCACTTAACCCTGCTTTCCTCAGTTTCCTCATCTGTAAAATGAGCTGGAAAAGGAAGTGGCAAATCATTCCAGTATCCTTGCCGAAAAAACCCCAAATGCAGTCATGAAGAGTCAGGCACAAGTGAAAAACGACTTAACAATAAGGAGTTTAGCTAAGAAGAGGAGTAATAGATACAGGATAATACTTGGCAGGGATAAAAGGATTAAGTGATTGTTTTTTAAGGATGGGTAAGACTTGGGTGTATTTGTAGGCTGCAGGGGAAGGAGCAAGTAGAGAGAGACTGAAGATTAAAGAGAGGGGGGTTGACAGGACAGCAATCTGCTGAAGAAGATAAGAGGGGGGGAATCAAAGAATTTGGCAAGGAGAAGGTAATATTTTCAGAATGATGTGAGATAAAGAGAGTGGAGAAGAGGGAATTCTTGGCAGATGGTTTCAGTGAAGTATGAAGGCAAGGTCTTCTGCTGAGAGGGTGTAGAGGGGAGGTACTGTATGAGTATTGAGAAGAGAGGTTTGGACAGCTGTGATGGAGATTGGGACTGAGAACTGATTAGGTTGTAGAAGGATTGCTCTGCTGCCTGAAGGCCTAGTTAAGATCAAATAACATAAATTTATAGTGGACTCAATCAGCAAGGTTTTGTGACTTCCTTCATTTCAATTAAGTAGAATGTGAAGAAGAGTGACAAAGAGGAATGGTGGGAGCGATCCAGGGTTGGAAGCTGGCAAGATGTGATCAGTCTTCTTGTAACCCAATGTCAATCATCCTTAACTCTTTGTTCTCCCTCATTCTCTCCCTTCTCTCCCAAATCTGAGCAGTAGTCAGTCAATGAACATTTATTGTTTACAATGTGCTAGGCACTCTGCTAAACACTTGAAATACAAAGAGAGATAATCTCTGCCCTTCAGAAGTTCACAATTTAATGAAGAGAGACAACATACCAACAATAATATACAAAAAATATATATACAAGATAAATAGGAAATAATCAACAGAGGGAAGGCACCAGAATTAATAGAGATTGGAAAAGGCTTTCTACAGAAGGTGGAATTTGGAAGATGTGAGTTCAAAATCAGTCTCAGACACTTACTAGCTGTGTGACCTTTGGCAAGTTACTTAAGCTCTGTTTACCTTAGTTTCCTCCACAGTAAAATGGGGATAATAATAGTATCTACCTCCCAGGGTTGTTGTGAGGATCAAATGAGATATTTGTAAAGTGTTTAGCACAGGACCTCCCACCTTGTAGGTGCTGTATAAATGAGGGCTATTATTATTATTACACCTCCACAATAACTTTTGAATATGTCCTTTTCTCTTTATTCATATGGTCACCATTCCACTTCAGAACCTCATCACCTCTAATCTGGGGTACATAACAGCCTTCCAAGTTGTTCCTCTCTTGCCAATCTCTCTCCTCCCCAATCCATAACTCACACTGCTGCTGAAGGGATATCCTGGGTCTGACAATATCTTTCCCCTACTCAAGAAGCTCCAGTGGCACCCTAATGTCTTTTGGATCAAATTGAAACTCCTCTATTTGGCATTTATAAGCTCATCACAATCTGGCTCCAACCCTCTTTCCGGATTTATTACATATTACCCGTGTCCCATGCTCTTGCCCAGGCTTTCCCCCAGGCCTGGAATGACTCCTTCCTATGTGAGGCCTTTTTAAATACCCACAGTTTCTAGTGCTTCCTTTCCAAAAATAATTACCAAATATTTGCTCTGTATCTATGTTCCATCTACTTATATGGGTAGATGTTTTTTCTCCCATAACATATAAGCTTCTGAAGGGCAGGGACTATTTGATTTTCATCTTGGTGTCTTAGCACCTAACACAGTGATTATCATACAGCGGGAAATCATGTAGAACAGTGGAAAAAAGGCTGGATTGGGTGTTATATGGTACCAGGTATCCTTTTCTCCCTTACTACCTCTGTGATATTAGGTAAGTCACTTCATTTCTCTAAGGTTCATTTTCCTCATTCTTAAGATGAAGGGAAGGATTAGATAACTATAAGGTCCCTTCTGGCTCTAAATCTGTGATCCTAGGTGCTTAATAAATAATTGCTAATTGATTGTGATTTAGAGGCTGGATTGGAAATCCACAGGAACTCTCTCAACATTTCTCATACTCAGTTGAAATCCTGGTCCTGAAATTAGTAAGGCAGTATATCTTACATAATTTGTACTTGCCATAGAAACCAATGAAGGACTCCGAAGGATAATTATTTCTCCTATCTGAATATTCAGAAAATTTTTATTTGACTTTTAAGAGAACCAGAATGCTAGGCCCATATAAATCTCTCTATTCTCCCTTATACTTACCTTGCACACTATGGAAGTCTTGGCTCCAAGCCGGGCTGCTTGCACACACTGGTTAGCACCTTTTCCTCCAAAGCCAATAAAAAACTTATGTCCATGAATGGTTTCTCCAGTTTTGGGCAGACGTGATGTAAGGCTATTATAATCAAGAAAGGAAAAAAAAACCAAAACCCAGTAGATTTGACATGGGTAACAGAAACATCAATTAAGTTGTTCAGAAGAGAAAAATAAACCTTAAAGTGCTGCTATTACTATTCTTTATTATGCCTTTGCAGACTAACCCAGATCAGTGTTGTTTTTTTTTCTATGACCTTTAAATAGTATTTATACCAATCAGATCTATGTGGTGCGCTATACGTGCTCTCGAATTCCAACTCCAAGATTGTCTTCAATTCTTCATTTTGCTCTACTATAAGAAATTCTACTAATTAGAGATTTTCTCAAGTTATTAATCATAATGATACTCTCTGGAGAATTAAGGGGCTCTCCTTATTCATTCCTCAGTGTGAATTAGGACAATATGATTTCCTCCTGGTTCACATCAGACACAATTACAAGAAATTGGGAGTAGTGTTAGGAGCAGGAAAGATAACTAATTTTGAAGCATGGGAGAATCTGGAGCAGGGAGGGATGAGGGAAAAGAACAAGAGTGAGAGTAGAGATTTTTAGCTAGTAGAGAATAGCAAAAGGATATCAAGTATCCTGGGAGACAGGGAAAAGAAGCTCAAAAATCATCTATATTTTAATTATTGTCTCAGGCAGGGTCTTTTTTTTCAAAAATACTTTTGGTATTTAATCATATGCTACTGTATACATTCTATAACTGTATTTCTTTTATCTCTCAAATAGGATATTATACTCTTTGAAGGCAGAGAGTACTCAATAAATGTATTGTTGATTGAACATCTTCAGCTGCTTTATTTTCTCCCCAAAGACTAGGACAATGCTCAATGGACAGTGAACACTTTATAAATACTTGTTTGAATGAGTGGCCCCACTTATGCTGCCTTACCCAAGTCTGCTCTCACTAGCAGGCAAATATACTGTTCTCTTTCCTGCCAATCCAGGGCTTTCATTATGTTCTGCTTTTTCACCAAAATCAGCCTCTTTCCATCTAATTTTCTCAGACCTCAGTGCTTTCTAGGGTAACAAATAATGAATCTAAAAGACCCCACCCAACCACAGAATGCAAAGAGCACCGTATGCTGGCCATCTAGTTCAAGCTGCACCTGGAGAGGGACTCTTCCTTACAACAACAATGAAAAGTGGTTACCTAGTCCCTTCTTGATGATTTCAAATGACAGGGCACACTAAGTAGCTGTCAAATGTTTAAACAGCTCTAATTCTACCTGTCTTTCTGCAGTGTCTGCCCACCAAAAAAGTAAAATGTTTGATGGTGGCTCTTATGTCCTCCTAAGTCCCTTCTTCTCTTGACTATATACCTCTAGCTCCTGCAAGAGATAATCATATAACATGGTCTCCAGGTTGCCACTGTCCTTCCTAAAAGACAGTGTCAACAAGTGAATATAGTACTCCAGGTCATATAATATGATCAAAGCAGGGTCTAGTAGGAATATCACCTATATATCACCTATGGCACAGTGGACACAATATTAGATTTGGAGTCAAGGGGTGTGAGTTCAAATCTTGGGTCAGTAATCGAGTACCTGTGTAACCTTGGACAAATCATTTCATCTCTGTGGGGGATCTCAGTCTTTAAAAATAAGGGAGCTGGACTATCAGGGGTTTTTAACATGGAGTCCATGAACTTGTTTTTTGTTTTCTAATATTTCGATAAATATATTTCAATATAATTGGTTTCCTTTGTAATCCTATGTATTTAAAAACATTCTTCAGAGGAGGGGTTCATAGATTTTACCAGAATGCCAAAAGGCTCCATGATACAAAAGAGTTAAGATTCCCTGGACCAGATGATCTCTAAGGCTCCTTCCAACTGCAAATCTTTGATTTAATGACTTTCCTCATTCTGGACAGTATGCTTCCACTAATTCAGCCCAAGATCATGTTAGCTTCTTTCTTTGTCACATCACACTATTGACTAATTGAGCTTGCAATTTATAAAAATCCTGTATCTTTTTCGTGTGAGCTGTTGTCTAGCCAAGCCTTCTGCTTTCTGTACTTGTGCAATTAATTTGATTAAACTCAAGCCTTGCACTTTATATTTATCCCTATTAAATTAATCTTCCTTTTCTCAGGCTAATAGTTCTATTTGTACCCTTAATTCCATTCCTTTACATCACATTTGGCAGTGTGCCCTCTAGGTCATTCTTTGACTTATTGTTAATCTTTTTCTATCTTTTAGATTCTTCTAGTGGCCTAAATATTAGCACAGGACTCCTCATTCTTAAAGCGTGTGCACACCCACACCCATACCCCTTTGTCTTTAGCTTGCCATTATTTCAAGCTATCATTCTACATAATGTTTCCCTTTCATTGCTTTAGGATTACTTCTCAGGAAGAACCCTTTATAATCTCTACCTCAGTTTCCTCATTTTCACCTCTGATTTATCCCTTTTATTATGGTTTCTGATTCTTGTACTCTGTTAAAACTGTCCTTTCTTAAGTTACCAGCAATCTCTTTTAAATCACTCTTTATTTTCCAATATATCCCTTCTCCCATCAACAGAGTAATTTTCTTACATCAAAGAAAAAGGAAGAAAAGCAATTCAGCAAAATCCAAAAATCACCCTAGTCCAATGGTATATGCAATTTTCCACACTCATAGCCTTCCATCTTCGTGAAGAATGGAGGGAGGTGCATTCTCACATCACTTCACTGGAGCCAAGCTTGGTCATAATTTGAGTTCAGTTTTGAATTTTTTTTGTTCTTTCCATTTATATTGTTATAGTCATTGTGCATATTGTTTTCCTGGTGCTCCTTACTTCAGTTCAGAGAAGTCTTCCTGTGGATCCTCCACATTCATTATTTCTTACAGCAAAATAACTTTCATTCCATTCATATACCACAATTTCTTTAGTTATTTTCCAATTGATGGGCATCTAGTTCGTTTACAATTCTCTGTTACTCCAAAAAGTGCTCTATAAATATTCTGGTGTATATGGGATATTCTTTCTACTTCCTTGAGATATATGCCTAGTGATCAGATCTACTAGCAATGTCTTAATTTCTAAAGATATCCTGGCTCTATTCATTCACTATACTTCGTTTCTACCTCTTCACTGAGAAACTTCTCCCTGAGGCCCTGCTTTTTTCCCTAATGACTCCTTGACTTGTACTACTACTTTAGAAAGGGCTCTAGATATGCTCATTTTATTCCTAGTTGGACTTGCTCTACAGACATCTCTACCACTTTACAGCAGCCTTGCCCCCACTCTTTTCCTCACCTTTTCCCTCCAACTCCCCTTTATGTATTGTCCTCCCCCATCAGAAAGTAAGCTCCTTGAGGGTAGAGATTGTCTTGCTTGCCTATAATTTTATGTCCAGTGCTTATCACAGTACCTAGGATATAGTGAGTGTTTAATAAATTCTCTCTCTGTGTATATATGTATATATACACACATATGTATGCGTGCATGCATGCATGCTTGTATACACACACACATACACGGAGTCTTCATCCTTGATATCTTACTGATTTTCAAATCTGGTGAGGATCCATCCTGCAGGATCATCCCTCCTCTCTTTGCTTCTATGACACTGCTTTCTTCTGATTCTCTTCATACCTGACTAACCTTAGTCTCTGTTGCTAGTTCAGCATCAATCTCTCACTCCCTAAAAATAGGTTTCTATCTATACTTTAGCGTACCAATCAATTTCTTGATCCCACATCCTTATCTGGAAGTTCTACCAGCAGCTTAAATTCAGCATTTACAAATCAGAACTCCTCATCTTCTTCCATAAATTATTCTCTCTTCCACCAAACTTCCCAATTTCTTTTGATGGTACTACTGTCCTATTAGTTATCCAGGTTCTTTGATTCTTGCTTCTTCAGGTATAACCTCTAATCAGCTGTCAAGTTTTATTGGTTCTAATACTACCATACCTCCCATATAAGTCTCCACTTTATTCACTTTGCCCCCACCTTAGTTCAGATCTTAATCTGAACTTCTTAGCTGAACTACTACAGTAGTCTCCTAATCTTCCTCCTTTTAGTCCCATTTCCTATTCAATTCATCTTCCACAGAGCTGACAAGATAATATTAGTAAGGCATAAATCTGAGTGGGTCACTTCTTTGATCATAAACCTTCAGTGTTTTCCCAAAAGCTAAATGGTAAATAGACTGAATATTCTTTGAAAGAAGAAATGCAAACTATCAACAACCATATGAAGAATGCTCTAAATCACTAATTAAAAGAGAAATGCAAATTAAAACAAATGAAGTTTTATCTCATACCCATCAAACTGACAAAGATAATAAAAGATAAAGAGAGTAATTGTTTGAAGAGTTGGGGAAAGACAAGCACATTACCGCACACGTTGGGGGAGCTCTAAACTAGCATTGACTGAGTGCCTATTATGTTCCAGGCACTGTGCTAAATGCTTTATAAATATTATCTCTTTGATCCTCACAACAACCCTGGGAGGGAGATACTGTTATTATTCCTATTTTTTAATTTTTGTAGTATCAAAGACCTGGAAGGAAAGTGGACTTTCCTTTGACTAGGGAATGACTGAACAAATTGTGGTATATGATTGTATGACTATAATGGAATACTATTGTGCCATAAGAAATGATGACTATGGAATCTTATTCTCATTGGATTTGGCTTAAAGAGGGAATACCATACACACTCAATTGGGTATGGAAATCTATCTTACCCTACAGGAAAACAGGAGGGAAGGGGATAAGGGGGAAGATGATACAGGGGAGGGTAGACTGGGGTAGGGGATAATCAGAAGCAAACACTTCTGAGGAGGGACAGGGTCAAAAGAGAGAATAGAATAAATGGGGGGCAGGGTAGGATGAAGGGAAATACAGTTTTCTCCAACCTGACTACTATAGATGTGTTTTGCATGACTACCCATGTACAACCCTTTTTAATGAGGGTGGGTGGGGAGGGAGGGAGAAAATTTGGAACCCAAAGTTTTAAAAACAAATGTTAAAGATTTTTTTCAAATGCAACTGGGAAATAAGATATACAGGCAATGGGTAT